CTTAATAGAAAAAAGAAAATATTGTTATATATGGAGCGGTGGAAAAAGAATACAGAGCACCACGGCAGGGGTTTTTAAAGTGATTTACTCGAAATCTGTGCATTTTCCACACTCACCCTCGAGACCTATATATTTACACTTTCACCCCCTCAACTTTTCAAACTTGCCACAAACGTTATAAATTATTACAAGTGTACCAATTCAGTTACTGTATTTATCTTTACACACAGTACCCATATGCACAAAGGTATTAAAAACATATTTTTTTATTTAAGTATAGCAATCGAAGACACCTTATTGTATCTTATAAAACACAATAACCACCAATGTTTTATGTGTTTGTATATTAACAACTATCTTGTTTTTAAATTAGCAAATGGAATGTGTTTTTTTCCATGTTGTCAAATGACGTATATTTACTATGCAGTTTCATGACTTAGAGTTTATGTATAAAAATAATATTGTATTTATCACGATGTCAAATTATCCAAACTACAATGATCTATGTGAAGAAGTCAGTACGTCAATCTACATGCAATGATAATGCATAACGCAAAAAGCCAGTTAAACATGAATGGTAGATGTGGCTTTTAACTGTTAACACTTATGTCTTTGCAACATGAAGTTGCAAAGTATGAATCAACATGATTTCCGCCAATAGCATGAGCTTGCTTGTATTTGACGATTAAAATGTAAATTGTTAAAGACTTTAATGAAGATAAAGACATATTCTATGATGATACCGGATAACATAACAGGTGATGATAATGAGTCAAAATGTCGAAAGATAACAGGTGATGATAATGATACCATATTATATTCTTCATTGTCTTATTTTTTAATTTTACTTTGTAACCTAGTTGAAATTGCTCAATATAATTATGATTTAAGTTATAATATAGAAAATATGATTGTGTTTCGGTGAGAATAAGATGTAAGGTGAGAAACGAAAGAAGAGATCTCCCCTTGGATGCACATTAGAATGAGATGCAGCAGTTGAATCTCAGTATCAAACGCGATTCATGAGTGAATATGAAAACTAAAAGTGATCGAGGGTCCATAACCCTTTTCACGATTATCATATTAACTCTCATTCTCACACGATTCTTTGTCATAAAACATATACATACATATATATATATATATGTATAATTATATATATGATATACAAATTAATTGTCTTAGGCCACACTTGGAAAAACGTCTTGACTTCATCATGACTCGTAAAAATTTAGGTTTAACCTCACTATTAATATAGTTAATATTAGGTACGCAAAAATAGAATAGCTGTTGGAGTTGAATGTAATTTTTTGAAGATTTTGACTTTTTATATTCTATTATAAAAATTAGACCATAGTTGTTAAAGACTTTCTTAAAAGAAACAAGGTAAACAAACTACTAGAGTTTTCAAAAGTTGATTCGATTATTTAGAAAATCACTAGAAGGGTACTCGCGCAATGCAGTGAGATACATTTTGATTTTAATATTTTTTTTTATTTTTATCCCAATCGATGTTATAATACAGTCTTATGTGATTTTGCAAAAACAATAATGTTTTTATTTTTGAATAAAATATAAATTTGAAGATAACATAAAATTTTGACAAAAATATATCGATATTAGTATCCAATTAACTACTTAAAATTCCTATTTTTTGTGTAATTTTCTAATTCAATTTTTTTATTATAATTTAATTTAGATTTAATAACGAAGTAATTTATATTTGGTTTAATAATTTAATTTTCTTATAAAGATAATAATTAATTATTTTGTTAGAACTCGATAATTATCCTAATTATATTTTAGATTTTTTATATTTTAAAATGAGATGTTTATATCATTTAATTGGTTATGTTTATCCGCGGTTAATTACGCGAATTCAAACATGAGGATTTAATAAGTTGTACTTATGCATAATTTAATTGTAATATTGAATTTTAAGTAATATGCATTAATATACAATATTTCATGCATAAAAAATAGTTTTTAAGAGTTTTTATCAAATACTTTATAATGTAATATAGATAACACGGTTTTGAATTTTTCTCTTCCAATATTTTGAATTTTTATTATTTACAAAATAACAAATAGAAATATAAAAAATTAATTTTCTATATATATTATTGGTTCATATTTAATGTTTTAATACTTATATTACTAAAAAATTAAGGATTTTTAAAATTAAAACTAAATACTTTACAACTAAAATCTTTTTTTTTTTGTAAGGGTGTCCGGGCCAAAGCCCGACTAATCCCCGGTAAATTTGGAGGCTAAACATGGCCTCACTTAAATGTCGCCAACACTCCCCTCCCATGGCTCGAACTTGAGTTCATGACTATTCCATGCCCAAGCCTTTACCACTAGGCTGTAAGGTCTTTGACTTTACAACTAAAATCTTGTAGGTTATAATTTTGAAAACACGTAATTTTTTTTAATTTCAAGATTTAATAAACATGGTATACCCCATACTTGTTTTATGTGGTTTAAAAACACGACACTAATTTTTATTTCATTTTATATTTTCATGTAAATTAAAAAAATATAATAAAGTTTACAAAATAAATAAATACAAATTCTCCAACCCAATAGTAATAAAAGGGATGGACCAATTGTACTTTTTACATTGTTAAATACAACTCTAACAATTGATTTTCTTTTCATATACATCAACGTCAAAATTCTTCTTTTACATTTTTAATACTTCTATTGACCCAATTTTGACATTAAACATGTTGTAAATAGAAAATAGAGTTGTTTTTGCATATTCCTTAAAGATGAGGGACAATTATGGAAAATATTACTGAGAGAATTTAGATTTAAAACGGCTACTTTTTATTTCTTTTTGAGTGGCATGATCTTGGAGTTTAGCGAATCGGCCTTTTGAGTTGCGAAGTTCCTAAACTACCCTCGCAGATTCCTGGTTTTACATCCATATCACCCGTGACCCATTTATCACCTAAATGACCAAATCACCCATTAAAACACAACTCTCACCTCTCCAATATCATTGAGTTCAGGGTCTTTGTAGTACTACCACACTTGACAACCTCAAAAATCAGATTGTTTGTTTTGTTACCCTAGAAAACATAAAATGGCCCACCAAATAATTATGATATACAACTTTTCATGAGTACAAATCAATCCATCAATTTTTTAAATGAACAATTTTGCTCGAAAATTTAGGAGATTTTTTTTATTAACCTGGATATCTAATATGTTATGTGAACCGACTAATCCCAGGACGACCACCTGTTTTGCATATAGTTTGGAGTCACTGCATTTGAACCTCCGTAACCACAAAAGGGATTTTTATTTCTCATTGGATTTGAGATATTTTATTCAACATGAAAGAAAATAGAAATGAATTTTTATTCATCTAGCTTAAGATGATTAAAAATATGGGCTTCTGAGAGAATAAACCAATTATATTATATAAAATCAAACAATTTTTTTTATTTTTAATATAATTAATTACTGCTTAATACATCTAACCAAACAATGTCTTATTTTTTTTATACATGTTAGAATCAAATGATGTTTGTGTCTCGTTTTTATAGTTAATGAAACTACAATAGATAACATATTATTCAAATACGTAAAAAATTGTAAGATATGATGTGTATGACCATCAACATGCTTCTATCACCCTATCAGATGTCTATCTTGTTGGTTGTTGCTGATAAATGCAATCAATTGGCACAATGAAAGACGAAATAGTGAGTCAATGTGGTGACAAGTTTACCAGTATAAAACATAACGTCAAGTTATGTGAATAAAAAAAGCTATAATTTTTGGTAAGTAATCTTATACCGTTTACAAGTGTTAAATAGTTAATATGGATGTTTTTTTTAATAATAATATATATGTCTCTTTTATGATGGGAGTATTCATGCTGTTTTATTAAGATGATCATCAATCGAGTTTATTTATTTTATTTCCTTTAAAGAAAAAAAATATATATGTTTTTTTAAGTTTTTTTTCACATATAGTGTATACATTTATTAACTAACTACTAATAATTAGTTCAATCATTTCTTATTTTAAAAATATATTATTTGATTTAGTGAAAGGAGTTAGTTATCAACTAAACATTTGAAATGATTCATCTAAAAATAAAATAAAAATCTCTTATCTATACCGATTACAAATGATTTTACGTAAGTATAATTTATTAAAGCTTTATTTTTAAATTTATGTAACTAACTACAAATAAACATAATCAAATACAAGATAAACATCTATTTTAAATATAGAAAATCTAAAATATAATTAAGATAATTATTGAGTTTTAACAAAATGTTTAATTGTTGTCTTTATAAAAAAATTATATTATTAAACAAAAAACAAATTATTTTGTTATTAAATTTAAATTAAACTACAATAAAAATTTGAATTAAATAAGTTACACAAAAAAACTAGAACTATTAAATAGTTAATTTGACACTAATATCGATTTAGTTTTTTCAAAATTTTATACTATTTTTAAATTTATATTTCATTCAAAACTGAAAACATTATCGTTTTCTCAAAATCATATAAAATCGTATTATATCGATAGAGATATAATAAAAACTAAACATTAAAATGAAGATTTATCTCGCTACATTACGCGAGTACCATTCAAAGTAATTTAACAAAACAAGCCCATACAAAAAAGATACCAAAAAAAAATGTTATTTTTATTTTTGGAAATCGCAGTAAAATGGAAAATGGAGAGAATTATATAGTAAGTTTAAAAAAATAAGTAATTAATTTAAAATCGACGGTGAAGATGTAAAGTATCACAGCGGGCCCAAGATATGGTCCGTAGATTTGATTGTGGTGGAGGACAGTTAATGGTAGATTTGTAATTTATAAGAAAACGAAGGTGATTGCCGTACGGTCAACAACAGTAAATTCCAAATTAAAATTTATATATTCTTTTGGCTCCATTTCTCTCTCTATAGCTTTGCTTTCTTTCATCCGAAGTAGCTTAAAGTTGCAGTACACACTCCCATCCCACCACCTCTACGTCTCCTCTCTAATCTCCCCCTTTTACTCTTTTCTCTCTCCTAGGGTTTGCTCCATTCGCTGAGTCGAATCCAAAGAATGTTTGCCTAGTCGAATGTAACTTAAAAGTAACATGGTTTACTTCGTATTTTGCAGTTTTTGGATGTTTGAAATCTTTTTTTTTTTTTGCATAATTATATGCGTGAACTTTAAACTTTTTTGCTTTTTGTTTCTTGATTTTCTAGTAGGTTTGAAATTTAATGTTGGAGGGTTTGCTGTGCGGTTGCTGTATTTGAGTGGGTGATTTGAGAGTGAAGAAAACATGACTTCGAGAGGTGGAGGAAGCGGTTCGTCGGATCAAACGCCGCCGCCGCAGCGGCGGATCATGCGGACACAGACAGCGGGGAATCTTGGAGAGTCGATATTTGATAGTGAGGTGGTGCCCTCGTCGTTAGTCGAGATTGCTCCCATTCTTCGTGTGGCGAATGAAGTCGAGCCTAGTAACCCCAGGGTTGCTTATCTTTGTAAGTTTCTTCTTCTTGGGACAATTAATTGTTAACAGGGTTCTATCTCTTAATTTAGCTCGGCCCTGGTTATTGATATCCTTATGCCTAATTTAGTGGGTGTCTGAGCAATCAGCAATGTGGGTCGATGGTAGTGGAGATGAGTAATAAAAGCTGTTTATTGTGCCAAAGGGGGTAGTTCTTTGTGAACTTGGACAACTTTCAACCACCACAGCCTTTGGATACATAATATCATTATTATTGTTGCTATTTTTGGATTTCACTTAGGCTAGTTAATGTAGTGAATTACATCATTTATAAATGACGGAAGAAAGTTTCTAGTTTATATGCCAGATGTAATTGAAGTGAGTTTCAATGGTCTTTCATGATGGTTCTTAGTTTCAGTGTAGATAGTTATTGTGGGTTTCTATCTATTAATTCATTGAACAGGCATCATCTCTCTGTAGGTTCAAAAAGTTTGTTATGCATTATCTGATAGAAGCTACTTGATACTTATTTTTTCATCAAGAACATGGAACTTCTTTCCTTTAAAATTTGTTTTGGACAGAGCAACATTTGGTGACAATGCCTAGGTTGTAGAATCAATGAGAAGTCATGCATTAGTAGACAAGACAAGATATTTACAATTTAGTAGGAAAACCAATTTCAAGTTATTATTCATGCTTATAGTTAAGTCACTATGTTTTTTACATAGGCACTACATAGCCATTGAAGAAGTGTTGAAATTACTTAAGAACCAGTTGCTTTTAAATGAGAAAAACAATTGCACACCAACCCACATATTGTGCAGAACCTATTTTCTTAGCCACAGTCACAATGTTATATAAGGAAATTATTTCTTTCTCAAGTGACCGTTTCTCTTTTGAATACGTTGGCCATCTGACTTGTTCCTTCACTTGAAGCTGACCTGAGAGGGACATTGCCAAGAATATTTCCGTTTCTGGTTTATGAGGATTGAGAAGAGTTATACACTACTAGAAATTTACTTTCAAGTTCTGAAGGTTCAGAATGTGTGTATTTATGAAGATTTTATATCACTACATTGTGAATGGGTGATGAATACATAATAATATCGGCTGAGATTGCAGTAAAGGTGGATTGTATTGTTAAGTCCTAGGAGTTTTGTATGAGGAAAAAATCTGTTATAACATGAATGTATTTACTATTTAGGCCTTAGTAGGTGATCTACTGAAAAGGAAAAATATCCAGCAGGTAAAAAGGATCAATATCCATTAGTGGCGGGGCCTCAATCAATATTCCCAAAACACCTTGTTTCATATTTGATATCTCACTGGATGGTTCATGATCAAATTATTTGACGTCACACTACCATGTAAGATAAAACAAAAGTAGAAATGAAGGTTACTCTGTGGTGATGTGAAAAAGCTTGTTTTCTTGACTTTTGTGCCTTTGACATGGGCACACTTCTATGTGGAATCTTATTTAATAGCTCCATGAAGGGATCATTGGTAAGTGATTCGGGGAATTAGCTACATTGCCTTATCTTTCTATGATATATGGTGGTTAGCATTTGGGAAACTGTTCCAATTTTGTGAAGTGTAGGACTTTGGGTTGCATCTCATAGATTTTTCCATTTGCTATGCTTTGGCGTATAACTTGTCACCCTGCTTGTGCATGAAAACACCAAATCTCATCTTGCCCTTCTTTCGGGCTGGTGCTTGTTAGCATATGCACTATGTTGTGCATTTCTCATTTTCCTTGTTCTAAATTTTTGATGATGGTTTTGCTGCAGGTCGGTTTTATGCATTTGAGAAGGCTCATAGGTTGGATCCCACTTCTAGTGGACGTGGTGTTCGTCAATTCAAAACTGCCCTTCTTCAGCGGCTTGAAAGGGTAAGTCCGTAAGTGCTATTTGAATGGTGTTTTCTGTTGATGGAAAATAACTTCACTAATGTGATGGTGTGGCCTGTGGGTCACTTCACACCTCTCTCTCCCCCTTTAATGCATTTAGCCTGCTTAATCAATAATAATCTTATTTCATTTGAAATCAGGAAAATGATCCAACCTTGATCGGGAGAATGAAAAAAAGTGATGCGCGTGAAATGCAGAGCTTTTATCGACATTACTACTCAAAGTACATCCAAGCTTTGCAAAGTGCTGCTGACAAGGCAGACCGGTGAGTGTTTTTAAGATGCGAAGTGGCTTTAAGCAGTGTCCTTGATGTTTTTTGCATCCTGGTTTCTCTCTTTTAACGTACTTAAGTGCTATGGATGTTCAGTGCACAGCTTACCAAAGCATACCAAACAGCTAATGTTCTCTTTGAGGTTTTAAAGGCTGTTAATCAGACACAAGCAGTGGAAGTTGATCGGGAGGTGGGTACAAAGGAAAATTTCATACCTGTTTAGTGAATAATATTTCCTGCGCTGTTTTGGTTTTACTATATTTTTTTCTTATGCCTTGGTGTAACCTAATATGTATACTGTAAATCTTTGTTGAATCCTTCTTTCATGAATAATAATATAACTGTCCCACAGATTCTCGAAACACATCATAAAGTTGCCGAGAAGACAGAGATCTATCTCCCATACAATATACTACCTCTTGATCCAGATAGTGCCAATCAGGCCATTATGAGATACCCAGAGGTGTGTTTGGAACTTCCGTCTAACCTTGTTTTTTGTGTACATTTCTTACAACTTTTTGTAGCTTTCTTTAAAGTTGTTTATTCGGTTGCAGATTCAAGCTGCTGTTGTTGCTCTTCGTAACACAAGAGGCCTTCCTTGGCCCAGGGAATACAAGAAGAAAAATGAAGAAGACATTCTAGATTGGCTTCAAGCTATGTTTGGGTTTCAGGTGACTATGTTTTGCATGAATGTCTTAGTGTTGGTAATGGAAGTGACTATTGTGTAGGCTTGTTGCAACATATCAAGCTCCATGAAGTTCTCATGGAGAGATGTGAATAATATTAAAACCCTTTCGAATGTGAAGGAGAATTATGTTTTCACGCTTCAGCACCATGACCATTGATTAAACTGTTTCAATTGCAGAAAGATAATGTGGCAAATCAAAGGGAGCACCTGATTTTATTGCTTGCAAATGTTCATATTCGCCAAATTCCGAAGCCTGATCAGCAGCCCAAGGTTGGTTCATACCAAGTCATTGGAAAGTACCTCCCTATAGAAGCTAAACTAGGCCGTAAATTCTGCATTATATAATACATCACATCATTGAGGTTTTGTTTGAACACTTGAAGAATTTCTACTAGGGTCTATTCCAGTTTTAGAACTGGAGCGATATAGAAAGCAGTAGATAGAGAAACACTTGGCTGTAGAACTTGGTCATGATACTTGTTATGTTTTCTCCATGTGACTGAAAATACTATATATTCCTGTTCTATTTTAGTTATTATGTTTACATGCACATGCTTATTAAATTAAAGAATTTGGTTTTGAATAATCATGTTCCTTTAAGTTTACTGAACTTGCTATGTATGTTCGGACTTATGTGACTATTGGTTCCGCACATATTCTGTTACAACATGATATAGAGACAGACAATACTCAAAAGAACATTTGTACAGTTAATAAGGCAGTTACAACTTGATACTGTTTTTGCAACACACATGTAGGCAATGCTCAAAAGAGCACTTGTACCTTGAGTAGCTTTATTTCTCGCTTCATTTTATCTCATGTTTGTTCTTTTGTCTTTTGTTCCTCTGTTTTTGTTAGTTGGATGAGCGTGCATTGAACGAAGTGATGAAGAAACTTTTCAAGAACTACAAAAAATGGTGCAAATACCTGGATCGGAAAAGTAGTCTTTGGTGAGGCTTCATATGCATTCTTGTTCCAGTCTTAGTAATATGGCTAATAGGAAACCAAGTAACAGTCAGTGTGGGGAAGCTATTAGCTTTTGTTAAGATGGATCAATAAGCTTGCACCGCCAAGCTGCTAATTGGGAAACTTACTAGAATGTGATGATGATTGGTCAAATCCATTGTCTTATGTTAGTTGCGAACTTTATTTTAATTTTAAGCATCATCTTCTTTGTCTCATGTAGTTTTCTCTTGTGCTAATGACAGGTTGCCGACAATACAGCAAGAAGTTCAACAGCGTAAATTATTGTATATGGGACTTTATCTTCTTATTTGGGGGGAGGCTGCAAATTTGAGATTCATGCCCGAGTGCCTCTGCTATATCTATCATCATGTATGCTTCCTGTGGCATAAGATTTTATATTTTCTTTTCATTCGACATAGTTAGACATTTGCATTGTTATGGTGAAAAGTTTGTTATTTCACCTCGGAATTCTACTTGTTGGTGTTGCAATTATATTTACACTTTCTACAGGGCCACTAATCTTATGAAATGAAAGGCCCTTTTTAACTTTTTATAAATATCATCTCCGCTCTCCTTAACCAGTTAAAGTGAAGAACATGAATTTTTTACATAGGCATGAATTTGTAGGATTTGTTCCCCAATTTTTCCCCAAAAACACGCGGGCCATCTTCTCATCATTCCCCTAATGGTTTTTTAAGAACCAAAGTGTAGGAAGGAAATGAAAAGGGTCCCAATCTTAAAGAAATAGGTACTAAGAGCTTTATTGTAACCTCTTCCTGGACTTTATTGTATATCAGTATCTAGTAAGTGAAGATGTAACGGTCATTAAAATAATTGTGTACACTAAAACCAATAACAGAAGTAACCCCAAGTTTCAGTGGATTTTTAGTGGGTCTACTGTGAGTATAAGCATACATATAGACAGTCTAATCAGACAAAGATGAATATTTTGTTACTTTATTTGGTAACTGTGGTGCTTGACTTTTGACTAAATAAATGGTATCCGAGTCCATTTTTACGTAAATCTGAACCGGGCAAAGCTCTCCCTTACGAGAAATTTACATGTCCCTCAACAAGAGGTGGTAGCACCAAGAAGGTTGAATCCGGGAGTTCCATTCTTTTGGTGAGCGTACACAAGCTGTTTTACCAACTTCGCCGTCCCTTGCAGGATAAACTTTTTATTAATTGACTCATACATAAGTTCACGTGGTAAAGTAGAATTAGAGCAACTTTTTGTTTACATTCTAATTGTCTTAAGCACGGCCTGTAAAAATACAAACAATGCCCTCTTGAAGTGTAAAAATATCCATGTTTTCCGAGTCATTTGTGTAGCTCATAACATGGTGATTCTTGATATCAACCAACAGTTGCTTAACATATGAAACTCGAGGATAAGGGGTTGGTAAGAGCAAGATATTCATCTGTTGGGATTTCTACTTTGTTATTCTCATAATACCTGCAAATTTCTTGCTGCTCTCTTTTGTTGCTGCACTGAACTTCTTTCTGTTGTAATTTAGTTATCTGCCATTTGTTTGCCTTTGATATTCTGACCTCGTTTAATTGATAAACGAGTTTACTTGCTTGAATTCCTCCGGAATTTTTTTGTTTGTTTAGTGGGACGCTTTCCTTCAATTGATGCTATTAATGACATTGATGGTTCTCATATTTTCTAGATGGCCTTTGAACTGTATGGTATGCTTGCTGGCAATGTCAGTCCCATGACCGGTGAGAATGTGAAACCAGCCTACGGAGGAGATGAAGAAGCTTTCTTGACGAAAGTAGTTTCTCCTATTTATGACGTGATAGCAAAGGTTTTTTAACACGATATTTGCCTTGCCTTTGTTCGGAAGTTTTATTTGCTTGCAATGTTAGTTATTCCACCACTGTTTCATAGGAAGCTGCCAGGAGCAAGATAGGGAAATCAAAACATTCCCAGTGGAGAAATTATGACGATCTAAATGAGTATTTCTGGTATGATCTTGTTTGTGAGTTAGGGTATTAATACATTGAAGTTATGTAATATTGTTACTAAGAAGACCTTGAGCATTTCAGGTCGGTAGATTGTTTTCGTTTAGGTTGGCCAATGCGTGCTGATGCTGATTTTTTCTGTGAGCCTGAGAAGCTACGCCAGTTTGATAAAAATGGGGTAAGCTACAGCAGTGTTATCTCATTGTTTTTTCTTTTTCATATTTGGTACTTAAGTATTAAGTTGATTCATAAAAACGAAGCAGCAACACATGGGAGGTGATATCTCATGTCTTCTTCCTGCACTAGATGTTCACAGAAAGGGCCCACACCTGTACTAAACCAGAAATGTAGAAAACAGAAAGTTGACCCCCCTTGGTGGTGGGTAGGCTCTCCTTGTTAGGGAGAATGTAACAGGAATCTTACATTAAGATGAAGTGACAGATTCTTGGTGCTATTATTTCATAAGGCCTCATTTGAAATGTAATCAACAGATTCCAGTCAAGGCTATTGATTCTGGCAAGGTTCTTATTACATAGATTTTTTTGTCCTCACATGGATGTAGTTCACACTGCAAACCTTTGTTCATCCATGGTGTTAGCAACTCTGATTTTTGACTTAACATTATCCACTAATCTGTGTAGGAAGTCCATGCCATTCCAGCACATGGCTGTAAGCTTTTAATGAAACCAGTTTTTGCTTTTACTCTGGTGTTTGAGAAAATCTATTCATGTTGTGGTGTAATGTTTGTCAAGATAGTTCTCCCCTGAGAAAAATGTTAAAAGTCAAGAACCTGAATGATGTGGAATGTTTGTGACATTCAGGATAATAAACCACCTGGTAAAGATCGATGGGTCGGGAAAGTGAATTTTGTCGAGATACGATCGTATTGGCATGTTTTTAGAAGCTTCGACAGAATGTGGAGTTTCTTTATACTGTGCTTACAGGTGACTTTTATTCTATGCGATGATACTATTATTGTCATGTCTAAAAGTTATCATAATTATCATCCTCATTTCTCATTGTTTGAGGCGGTAGTGTTGGTAACAATTTTTTCTTTTCTTTTGAAGGCTATGATCATTGTTGCTTGGAATGGTTCCGGAGACCTGACCTCAATTTTCGATTCTGATGTTTTTAAGAAAGTATTGAGTGTCTTTATAACTGCTTCCATATTGAAGCTTGGTCAAGGTAAGTTAAGCACTTGCTGGAAGAGTTATGTTTGCAGAGTTTAATGTCTACATTTTCCATCACTTTCTGCGTTTTATGCTTCAAAATATTACCTTGCCTGCCAAGTTCTATTATTTGTTCAAAATATCTGTAGTGATGATTTAGTTAGTATTGTATCTGTCCAACGAATAATTACATGTACTTTTCTGATAGAGGGATTTATCTTATTTGTTTTGCAGCTGTTCTAGATGTGGTACTAAATTGGAAGGCAAGACAATGCATGCCCTTCTATGTCAAGTTAAGATACCTTTTGAAGGTTCTATCAGCTGCTGCCTGGGTAGTAATCTTACCAGTTACTTATGCTTATACATCGAAAAATCCAGCTGGACTTGCTCAAACCATTAAAGGTTGGTTTGGCAACAGCTCAGGCTCCCCATCATTGTTCATTTTGGCCGTTGTTGTCTACTTGTCACCAAACATGCTTGCTGCTGTGTTATTTCTATTCCCCTTCATTCGGCGTTACCTTGAGAGTTCAGACTACAGAATTGTGATGCTCATGATGTGGTGGTCTCAGGTACGGACATTAGATAACTTTTCATCCATTGATCTATTTTGAGGTCTACAACTCGATTGTTGGTTATGTAAATACTAACTTTGGATATATGAAATGCGACAGCCTCGGCTTTATGTTGGGAGGGGAATGCATGAAAGTACATCTTCTCTTTTCAAGTAAGATATTTGAAGATGAATTTATATGCAATTAGTTGAGAGCCACATTGTTCGGTACATGAATATTGATTTAAAATTTCAGGTACACAACCTTTTGGATTTTGCTCCTTGTTACGAAGCTCGCATTCAGTTACTATTTAGAGGTTCTGTTCTCACCCATACTTTAACATTTGGTCTAGTTGGTGCCTCATTATTAATCATGTTTGTGGCTCTCTCCTTGTACTATACATGACTTGTCAAGTAATAAGTAATATTAGTCTGCCAAAATGTTTGATCTGAAACTCTGAGACACGACAACATTTTTACGCATGTGTTAGTTCTTAAAATATCTTGGTACAACATTGGAATACCTTTTATCCTTTGTAAGCACTGACAAATATAACTATTGTTGCAGATAAAGCCACTTGTGGGTCCTACAAAAGCTATCATGAATGTTCATATCAACACTTATGCATGGCATGAGTTCTTCCCCCAGGGTAATAAAGTAAATGAAAAATCTAAGATTCATATACATTTTATTTGTTTTCTGAAATTGAGTGGTGTGGTTTTGCAGCAAAGAACAACATTGGTGTGGTGGTTGCACTATGGGCTCCAATCATTCTGGTGAGATTATGCTTCTTCCCTTAGTTATATCCTTTTCTCTTGTTCATGTGAATCCTTTTTTGTAGCTCCTAACGCTCGGAATGTATACAGGTATATTTTATGGACACCCAGATCTGGTATGCTATATTCTCCACATTTTTTGGAGGTGTCTATGGGGCATTCCGTCGTCTTGGAGAGGTTTGTCAAACTTGTCTCCAGTTGTGGTTATTTGGAAAAAGGTGGCTCACTGCTTTAAGTCATAATCTGAAAATTGTATTGTCTGCAGATTCGAACTTTAGGAATGCTGCGGTCCCGTTTCAAGTCATTACCTGGTGCATTTAATGCTTGCTTAACTCCACCTGAGAAAAGCGATCAGGCAAAAAAGAAAGGACTTAAAGCTACCTTGTCTCGAAACTTTGCTACGGTAAGTTTGACTTCTTAAGTTGGTCATTTATGCAATCTCAAACATCGTATTTTGTTTTCTTCCACTGAAGAGGAAATATGATACTTCCACCCAAAACTGTCTTCACGTTTTTTCAGCATGTGCCACATTTTAATGCTCACCAACTTGGCCTTGGTACAAAAACAAGTGATCGACTTCTTAAATCATGTAACTTGGCCTTCCCTTGCAATACGCCATCACTCCTGTAAAGTGTAAAAGAAATATGTTTCAAGAACGAGCCAATCTAGACAGAAAGTGCCAAGTATCATGCTTCTTTTTTGCATTTACATTTCCAAAATTCTCCAAAATTGCTCATTCTTGCAATTTATACGTTCTTTTGGGCATTGGCTTTACCTTTAGCATTTTTACAAGTACAATGGTTATCTTAAAATGAGAAGCCAAGACAATGTCTCAAAAGTTGGTCGCTTGTTAGTAAACCTACGAACTTAGTGTCTGTCTCTCTCCTTTGAGAAGTAATGCAATCCTCTGCATCAAAGTGTGCCATTCATGTCTTCTTTAAATGCCTTTTCTCTTATGGAAATATCATTTAGTACCATGGATGGAATTGCATGTAATTGAGGCTATGCTTCTCATTGCTGCAGATCCCCTCCAATAAAGAGAAAGAAGCTGCAAGATTTGCTCAGTTATGGAACAAAATCATCACAAGTTTCCGAGAGGAAGATCTTATTAATAATAGGTAATCAAAAATATGTGATTTTGGAGAAGTGGTTTTATTTTTACTTGTTCTTTTCTCTTATAAATGTAATTTGCTGCTTCAAATTTATTTAATGAACAGCTTCTTGTGAACAGGGAAATGAACCTTTTGCTTGTTCCATACTGGGCAGACCGAGACTTGGAACTAATACAGTGGCCTCCATTTCTGCTTGCTAGCATGGTATGTTTGTAATACTGGAAACTTCAGACAGTTTTAGCTTATCAGCAAAAATCCATTTCAAAGTTATTGAGCAGTTTAAGAATGCTCAGTCGAATCTTTAGCTCATCTCTGATCTGCTTTGGACTTTCTATTTCTTGAAGCTTTTGAGAGGCATTTAATTTATTTTTTCCAATTACTGGATAGATCCCTATTGCATTGGATATGGCGAAAGACAGTAATGGCAAAGACCGTGAGCTGAAGAAGAGGATTGAAAACGACGAATATATGTCTTGTGCAGTTCGTGAATGCTATGCTTCTTTCCGCAATATTATTAAGTTTTTAGTTCGTGGCCACCGTGAGAAGGAGTAAGTTCACTGTGATTTGTAGTAGAGAAGAATAAATTTTTGTTAAACAAGTTCTTATCACAAAACAAGATTTTGAGGACTGCTATTTTCTTTTCCATTTATATGTAGCACAACTTGGTTTTTCTTTTCAGGGTTATCAACTATATATTTTTGCAAGTTGACAAACATATTGAAGAAGGCAACCTAGTGAGCGAATTCAAAATGAGTGCTCTTCCTATCCTCTATGACCACATTGTCAAGCTTATCAAGTACTTGGTATGTACTTAGTAGCTTTTTGAAACAACTTTCTATGCGCTTTAAGTAGCTTATAGGGATATGCTAATACAATACGGTTTACGATTCGCAGTTAACAAATAAGCAGGAGGATCGGGATCAAGTTGTAATCCTTTTCCAGGATATGCACGAAGTTGTGACGAGAGACATAATGGAGGATCAATTACCCAAGTAAAGTGTTACCTGGAACTAATGTCTACTTCACCTTGTATTGATGCTTAACATTGTGTATTGTTTCGTTTTATAGTTTGGATGGGTCAGGTTATGATGGACCATTAGATCAACAATACCAGTTATTTGCACCTGCAGGAGCAATCCTGTTCCCGACTCCAGAATCAGAGGCTTGGAAGGAGAAAGTAATTTTAACAACAAATAAACATTTTGAGGTTTTAGTTTAGTCTAAAATTTTGTATATTCTTCTCACATGGTGTCCTCTTGCAGATCAACAGGTTGTATTTATTGCTTACAGTGAAGGAGTCTGCTATGGATGTACCGTCAAACTTGGAAGCTAGAAGAAGAATATCCTTCTTTTCCAATTCATTGTTTATGGAGATGCCAGTAGCACCCAAAGTTCGCAATATGCTTTCGTTCTCGTAAGTATATTTGATGGGTCATTTGCTGATAGCCTACATATTTCCGAGTTGCTTTTTGCAAGGATAGCCATTTCATGCTCTTAAGCTGTTTAGAGTACTTTTATAGTGCTTTAGGTTGTTTGAGTGCGTATATTGGTACATAGCCGTTAGAGTTGATGCCAATTGTCTTCTAGACCTTTCGGGGTACATGTCTTAACTTGATCTATTAAGTTTGTTCTCTAATAAGAATCAGCTACCCATAATTTCAGTCATGAAAGTTGATTCACCAACTCTTGGCTACAGGTTATGTGATACTGAAGCATGAAGTCTGGTTGAAATGCTTATTTTAAGTGGGGCCTACAAAAAAATTAGTTTATCAATCTTCATTTCAAAGGCTATTATACCTGATCTTGTGCATAATACATTAATTAATTTTATTTTACCTTATATTGTGCATAATATGTTTCTTTCTTCTGGTAGCGTACTTACGCCTTATTACACGGAGGAGGTTCTCTTTTCTTCGCATGATTTGGAAGTCCCAAACGAGGATGGAGTATCAATTCTCTTCTATTTACAGAAGATTTTCCCAGGTTTTTGCTATATCCTATCAGATGCTTATATGAAAGCAGTGTGTATATATTTTACTGACTGGTGATCACCGACAGATGAGTGGAACAACTTTCTTGAGAGGATGAAATGCAACAGCGAAGACGACCTAAGAGGAAGTGATGAGTTAGAGGATCAACTACGTCTTTGGGCTTCTTATAGAGGACAAACATTAACCAAGACTGGTAAATTCTGACCTAAGTGGACACTGTCCGAGTGATTAAATATCATTTCCAACATTTATCAATTAAGTTGGACCAATTCTTTGTAATTTATGACAGTTCGAGGAATGATGTATTATCGTAAAGCGTTGGAGCTTCAGGCTTTCCTTGATATGGCTAAAGATGAAGGTATGTAGCTGTTTGCCAACTGATCCTGAGATTACTATTATCTCCTCTTGTGATTATACTTTCTCAACCAAGGGAATTGCAGTTTCAAGTTAACGGGAGATGATTTTGGTGGTTTGTTATTTTCTTATGGCTTGATCAGATTTGATGGAAGGGTATAAGGCTATTGAATTGAATGAGGATCAGATGAAGGGAGAAAGGTCGCTATGGGCTCAGTGCCAAGCAGTAGCAGATATGAAGTTTACATATGTGGTGTCATGCCAACAGTATGGTATTCAAAAGCGGTCTGGGGATCTTCGTGCACAAAATGTTCTGAGGCTCATGACAGAGTATGCATCCGTCTTAGACTCAGTGAATTAGAGCGACACCTAGTTCATACTGACAAATGGTTATGACAGGTACCCATCTCTTCGTGTAGCGTACATTGATGAGGTTGAGGAGCCTAGCAAAGACACCACTAAAAAGATAAACCACAAGGTTTATTACTCTGCTCTAGTCAAAGCAATGCCAAATTCTAATGCTTCCGAGACGGGGCAAAACTTGGATCAGGTAAAAATTGGGAGTCTCACTGTTCTAGTGTCTATTTATTGTTATTGTTTATATGTAATGCTATTGCGGTTTTATTTATTTCTCAGCATCTATACATGTAAACACAACAATTGCCAGATTTATGTCAACGAATCCGATTCTGTTAAAGTCGCATGAAAGTTATTTAAATCTTAGCAAATGTTGATAAATATTACCAGTAAGCTGTTGGCTGAAAGGTTCAAGACCTTCCCTTCTTCTGCTTGAACGGTTGAGAAGTTCCATATGCAAGCTCGCGTTAAAGTTTTGCTTCTTGTGAAGTCTTGCAATCCCCATGATCCAATTTACCGATGATGTTGGTCAAGATTAAAGATAATAATAATTTTTTTGGAAATATCTTGTCACTAGATTGTGGGAAACAAGGACAGCATTGAGAAACTAAAGCAATAATGCAACTTCGAGAACTTGACTCCTTACGATGTGTTTTAGTTAGGTATTCATTTGTGTTCCTGAATTCATTCGGTAACAATAGATACCATTTCAATGTGCAGGTTATTTATAAAATAAAATTGCCTGGGCCTGCAATTTTGGGAGAAGGAAAGCCCGAGAATCAGAATCATGCTATCATCTTCACACGGGGAGAGGGCTTACAGACAATAGACATGAATCAGGTATGCCGTCAAATTTCTACTCCTACTTATATGAACGAAAAATCTTTCTGCCCCCTTTAACTTCAACCGAACATCCATGTTTAGGACAATTACATGGAAGAGGCCTTAAAAATGAGGAACTTGCTACAAGAATTTCTTGAAAAACATGATGGTGTGAGATACCCTACCATACTGGGACTTAGGGAGCATATTTTTACTGGAAGGTATGGCGAAGTTGTTGAAACTTGCTATGCTTCTTTTCTTTGTTTGTTTGCTTAATGCTCATTGTACTACTACTTTCTTGCTACAATGTTCCTTCTCTTGCATGATTTATGTCTAATCAAGAGGTGAGTTTGTTTGTTTGTTTAAGCTCATCGTGCTACTTTCTTGTTGCAGTGTTTCTTCTCTTGCATGGTTTATGTCTAATCAAGAGACGAGTTTTGTGACAATCGGTCAGAGATTGTTGGCCAACCCTTTGAAGTAAGATCTACAATCCTTTACGCCCTCACACCTCCAAGCTCTCCTTTTGATGCATATAACTTTTGATGTTTTGGGGTTTAGATACCACTGAATTGTCTTCACTTTGTTCTTTTCTTTTGATTTAAGCTCTAGGGACATATGTCTAGAGTGGCATAAGTGGTTGTGATATTGTTGTTCATGTGTATGACTTCTGTTTTGTGGGTTGCTTAAATGAGAACCATTTCATAGCATGCATGTGTCTCCAGGTTCATGGTTGAGCAGCATGGATTTAAGATCTTTTCTGAGCATATAGCAATTCATTGCTGTCTCTCATGGTGCCTCGTTTTTTATAGTGAAGCAAGTTAGCTGTGGTCTACTTGGGGTGTGTCATTTTTGGCTTTGTGTGGTAGTTTGGCGTGTTATGAGAGTCAGCTATTGAATGCCACAAGGCTACAATGCAGATGACAATTTGGAGCTATGCTCTCCTTTCATGATAAATTTTGCTTCTTAGAAAATATTAATCGGGTGAAATTGAAAGACTAATGGTTCTTTGATCTTGGAAATTGGGTATGTGTTGCTATTCTTTTTACAGATTATGCATATCTTAACTATCAAGTATTTTTGTACTTGTTCAATATGCTTAGAAGTCCAGTGGGCCCACCTACCTTACAGTTGAGTGCACGCCAGACCGAATGTGTCACTCTTCACATGAATATCAACCCCTACCACTTTAGTCTTTGATTATAAGTTCAGTGGCAATTGATCTTCTCCTCAAATATTTCTGTTTATACACTTCGTACTTCTGTTGAGTACTTGTTAATTAATAGTTGACTACACTTCATTCCTCCAGGGTTCGCTTTCACTATGGTCATCCAGATGTCTTTGATAGGCTTTTTCATCTTACAAGAGGGGGCATCAGCAAAGCCTCCAAGATCATAAATCTAAGCGAGGACATATTTGCTGGTACTTTAGAACTCCTATGTCTTACCTGTTATGCTAATTGGTTTGCTTGAGCTTACTATTTCTTTTTTTGTGTACAGGTTTTAATTCTACACTCCGTGAAGGCAATGTCACACATCATGAATACATACAAGTTGGTAAAGGGAGGGATGTTGGTCTAAATCAAATATCTCTGTTTGAGGCAAAAATAGCCAATGGAAATGGGGAGCAGACACTTAGCCGTGACCTATACAGGCTTGGACACCGCTTTGACTTTTTCAGGATGCTGTCATGTTACTTCACTACAATTGGTTTCTACTTTAGCACCTTGGTAAATTGTTTGTTGAAATCGTCTTCTTACTGTAATATTGTTACTTTATTCTGTTCTCAGCTCGTCACAATTGTCTCTTGCAGATCACTGTATTGACTGTGTACGTGTTCCTTTATGGGCGTCTTTATCTTGTTCTTAGTGGGCTTGAGCAGGGGTTTAGCACCCAACCTGCCATTCGGAACAATAAACCACTTCAAGTGGCTCTTGCTTCACAATCTTTTGTGCAAATTGGATTCTTAATGGCCCTGCCTATGATGATGGAAATTGGTCTAGAAAGAGGTTTCAGAACTGCATTAAGTGAATTCATTCTTATGCAATTACAACTTGCACCAGTGTTCTTTACGTTTTCACTTGGAACAAAGACTCACTACTATGGTAGGACATTGCTTCACGGAGGTGCAAAGTACAGGCCAACAGGTCGTGGTTTTGTGGTGTTTCATGCCAAGTTTGCTGAAAACTACCGTCTTTACTCTCGTAGTCATTTCGTCAAGGGAATTGAACTTATGATCTTGCTTCTCGTTTACCAAATATTCGGAGAATCATACAGAGGAGCACTTGCTTACATCTTAATCACCGTCTCAATATGGTTTATGGTCGGCACGTGGCTCTTTGCTCCGTTTCTCTTCAATCCCTCGGGTTTTGAATGGCAAAAGATTGTTGATGATTGGTCTGATTGGAATAAGTGGATTAGCAACCAAGGCGGTATCGGAGTTCCCCCTGAGAAGAGTTGGGAATCATGGTGGGAGGAGGAACAAGAACATCTACGTTACTCCGGAAAGCGTGGTGTTATTGTTGAGATATTATTGGCATTACGTTTTTTCATTTACCAGTATGGTCTTGTTTATCATCTAAGTATGACGAAGCATCAGAAGAGTGTCCTGGTATGTGTTTTGTCCAACTCTTTCCTGTTCTGCATTTCCTGACATCTAATGATGTTGCTAATGATGTTGTTTATCATCTAATGATGTTGCTAAAGGTTCTTTTCACGGACTGCAGGTTTACGGTATATCATGGGTGGTTATTTTTGGAATTTTACTGGTGGTGAAGGTGAGGAATTTTTTCTTTGTTGATATACAAGTCTTTAAGGAAATTACTGTTTCAAGTTTCGGATGTTAGGGGTTTTCTGTTCATATGAATTGGATGAACCATGAAGTTCCATAATGTGATCTTTTGCTTGCCTATATTTAGATATTTGACCATTAATCAGACACTTGTATTACAGTTGATTGATACAAGTTTCTTGGGATGGACGAAAGAACATACATATCCTAACAATAGAGTTTCAGGTTTTATATGAAGTTTTCTTGTTTTCATTTTCCAGGCTATATCATTTGGGCGGATGAAATTCAGTGCAAAGTTTCAACTCATCTTCCGGCTAATTAAAGGGGCGATCTTCATTATGTTTGTGTCTATTCTTGTGATCCTGATTGCACTCCCACATATGACACTGCAAGATATTGTTGTGTGCATTCTTGCCTTCATGCCAACTGGCTGGGGCTTACTACTGGTTAGTATCACATTTTCTCTTCCTTCTACATTTCACTTCACAAGGACAGGACCACAAAATGAAAAGACGAAATCAAGACCTTAAACTTTGTGTTTGTTGATTTTTGATTTCGTTTCAGATTGCACAAGCATGCAAACCGGTAGTGAAGACAGCTGGATTCTGGGGATCAGTGAGGACACTTGCTCGTGGGTATGAGATAGTGATGGGTCTACTTCTATTCACCCCAGTTGCATTTCTTGCATGGTTTCCTTTCGTTTCGGAATTCCAAACACGTATGCTGTTCAACCAAGCGTTCAGCAGAGGTTTGCAAATATCTCGTATTCTTGGTGGGCACAGGAAAGACCGATCGGCTAGGAACAAAGAGTAGTTTAATAATGAAATGCAGCAGCCAGCGTTTGAAGTCCTATTTGTGCTGCTGCATTTTTTTGGTAGTTCGGTAGCTAGTTCTTTGTAATTGTGCAATGAAATACCTGCTAATTCTGTGATCCCAGGGAGAACACAGAAATGTTAATGTATTATCTTAATTTAGAAATGAATCTTGGGTTTTTGTGTTTTGCACACAATGCTCGTTGTACTTGCAACTTGCTAGAATCCAATGGCAGAAAGATCGATGTATGGAAGAGCCAAGGACTAGTTAACCCTGAGTTTGGACTAGGACCTCACGAACTGGACTGGCTGAGGATCATTGGTCCTTTTCTGGATCAAACTCCTGCTGACTCTGTGCTGGGTCCCTAGTCAGAACAACTTGATCTGCAAACAATGAAGGAAGAGAGTCAATGTTCTAAGTCGCCATTAAACTATGATCTTGATCATAATTGCTACAAACTGAATAGTGGTGCTATGGTTTTGGTTCAAAAACTACAATCACATCTGCCAATGGATCTTATCGTCTCATTCTGTGTCAATGAGCAATTCTAACGCTTCTTTTGTGGAATTTCCGGTGGCAAGTCGTCAATCTCTAGAACGGCTCTATTTATTGTGTTAAGGGTGGTCATTTACCCAGAGGTTTAATGTCAGAAATAAGGTACTCGAGAAATAGAAACAGATCAAACGTTTTTCATATATATGGTGTTAAGTTTTTCCCAAAACACCGTCCTGCTTGGAAATTATTCTTTGCAGTTTATTGGTTATCCTTTATGTTTCTTCAACCTTGGATGCATACATACAATTAAAACTATGCTTATCAATTTAGATATGACTTTTAGGTTCATCTACAAAGTCTGACTACAAAATACATTACGAATACCTCACTCCACTCCACAATATATGCATTATGTATCCGAGAACTAGTCTATCCTACACCTTTGGGAGCTTTCTAAGATATTCTTGACCCTTCCTTAGTCGCACACATTGCCATCCATACGGTACTTGCAAGACAATTCAACACTCGAGGGCCTTTGGGAGTACTAAAAAAGCACAAACATATAGAAAGAAACCTGAGAGAAATCATCACCCCCAAAATACGCAAATGAATAGTATTTATATTGAAATCTATTTATCCTTGGATCATGAAAATGAAACTAGAGAGAAATCGAAATGGAGTGAAGGAATCAGTCACCACCTTTTCATATACATGATCGATGCCATGGCACTGCTCATCAGATGCGATGGCTTCTCATATGAACCAGATGCTATGTTGCTAAAATTTGATCACATCAGGATGGTTTGTTTTTAAAGTTATTGGTTGTCAAAATTTGAGTCGATCATAATATATGTGTAAACAGATGGTTCTTCGAATCAACTTCAATCCAACAGCTGATCTGAAAAGAACAATATGGACAAATCTTTGACAGCTTAAACATAGGGCTTTCTTTTTCTGTTTCCCCTGTCGCTAGGTAACGAGGCCGCCAGGTACCTAGAATTGGTAATCTCCCGAGGTATAGCAGCCCCAGATGATCTCAATATTCCAATCAACTCAGGGAACAATTTCTTGTTCTCCTCGTTAACAAAGAGAATTGAATTACCCTCCTCTCCCATTCTGGATGCTCTACCAATCTGATGAACATACTCCTTCACGGAATTTGGCATGTCAAACACGATCACCTGTCTTACATGCAAAAGATCAATTCCTCGTCCCAATATCCCAGTTGCCACAATCACTGGAAGCTCTCCTAGTAAAAATGAACTTAAAATTCCTCTCCTCTCTTTCATGCTCTTCTCCCCATGAATAGCTGACGTTTTTAATCCAGTGTAGATAGTTATAGCGTCAGAAAGGAGATCCGCCCCAAGTCTTGAACCCACAAACACTATGACAGGTGGCTTGAAATGCTGTCTGCTGTTAAATATATCAAAAAGCTTTTGCTTCTTATGCTTTGACTCAACCCAGATAGCCACCTGCTTCACAGCTTGATTTGGCTTGTTTAGCTTTCCAACGGTGATGATATTGATCTCTTTTGCCAGTGAACTTGCCATCTTCTCTACCTCAATTGGAACCGTTGCAGAATACAACAAGACTTGAGGTTGAGATAGAGCCCTATATATCTGCATCACCTGTTCACGAAAGCCCCTTTGGAGCATGCAGTCCACTTCATCTATAACTAAAATTGAGACACTGTCTAATTCTATCTCAAATTTGGTTAAAAGATCAATAAGCCTTCCAGGTGTACCAATAATCATTTCTATTCCGCCCTGTATACGATGGATCTGTCTAGGCATTGCATCACCGCCTACCACCAATGCCGTTTTAAAGGGCAAACCCTTTCCGAGTACCTTGGCTTGTTCCTCAACCTGTATGCAAAGCTCCCTAGTTGGTGTCAGCACCATCACTAATGGTTTTTTCTGGTCTACAGACGACTCCTTTCTGAAATTTGCACAATAAGAGACTGTGGGAACCAAATAAGACGCAGTTTTTCCTGAACCAGTCTCAGCCGAAACGAGCAGGCTTTGGCGGCTCAAGGCAGCTGGAATTGCCTGCATTTGAACTGGTGTCAGGATTTCATACCCAGCAGATTCAATGTTCTGCAGGAGCTTCTGAGGAAGATTACAATGAGCAAAAGACAACACTGGAGCTGGAACACAATTACCCTTTACAACAATCTCAAATTTCACCCTAATCAATTCCGTTTGGTCGGTGGTTAATGACCGACCCTCTGATTTACCATTACCATCTCTAACATAAAAGCACTCATCAGTTGCGGGTAATCGTACGGGAGGCAGCATGAGACTAGTTGGAGGCTTGGGTTGTTTAGTTCTAAGCAAGAGTTTCTGCTTACATTCAAGGCTGCAGATATCATCATCAGTCTCATCACATATATATTCCCCATACCGGCCACACTCTATGCATCGAGGCTCTCCTGGTAAAGCCTCTCTTTGTTGAACACTATATTTTTTCACTTCATCAGCTGCAGAAGACACTAAAAAAGAAACTAGAATAAGGAAGTTAGCTGAAATTGAAGGACTAAGAACAGGTATACAAGCCAGAATCGATGTCATATAGAACAAAAGTAGTTCTATTCCAACTTAATGCAACCACTTTTGAGATCAAATACATTATTAGACAACCATGAAATTTAATTTCATATGCACTTTTAGGTTTAAGCGAAGTGATGAATACATCAAATTCCATCTAGTTGTCTGAAGTTGTGGGAACGAAAGTCAAGTTTACAATCGAGGTATAATATGAAGTCAATGTCGTTGATAAATGAACAAGGTACCGTCTTATCTACCCATGGATGATGGATTATACCAAAAAAAAGCAGGGAGATCAATGATAGCTGAATAGAAATCCATACCTGATGGTTCTACAGAATCTGATGCTGTTAACATTCTTTGATCCTCGTTTCCATCCTCCATTACAGTAATTCTAAGCAATTAAGCGCCACTTACTGGAACATTCGTGATTATTAGGCACTATTCAGTCATAAATGTCGTAGACCAAAACCTAGAAGCCAATTGACATGAAAACTGTAACGTTATTGAGGAAGAAAATCGCTGACGATAAAACAACTTCAAGATTTGTAAGATCCCTAGAAAAATTGAATTGGGGAATAATCATTTTGGTAACCAAACTAGGGCTAATTTACTATTCTTTACACGAATTAACAAGATGTTTTCTTTTCTTTTAGAAGTTGCCATATCTTCCCTCTCGACTTTCAAGAGCTCGTTGTTTTTTTTTTATTTATTAACCAGGATATCTAACCGCTATGCGAGCCGACTAATACCAGAACGAACGCCGATTAATACCAGGACGAACATCTATTTTGCAGATAATCCAGAGTCATCATATTTGAATCTCTATGATCACAAGGAGATTTTTATTTCTCATTGGATTTGAATCTGAGACCTCCTGACACTTTTGATTTTTAGAGCCAAACTCAAACCAATCAGGTATCATCCTTGTATTTGATTTTCTTGAATAAACTAAGTAGCAAAATGTAAGAAATAGTAATTTATATAATACTAATATACTTTTATTTTTCTTCCTTCAAAAATTGGAGCATCTTCTAAATTGATTATACCATTATTTTTGTTGCTTATATAACACACCTAAAGGGTTGTTTGCTTGGTTTTTTATTAAATTTTGTACGAATAAAGCTGTCTGTGTAGATTAATTTATCTATATAAATTATAAAGGTTTTGTTTGAGAGAGTTTTTCCATTAGATGAAAGAAACATATTTTTAATTGGAAATGACATGTTTAGAAAAACCTTGACATTCTACATAAAGCTCCTTAGTAAAAACTTATCAAATAAGCCACTTATTATATAATTAAATAACTATCAAACAATCATAAATAACTAACTAAATAAGCTACGAGTCTTGTTAAGCTGCTAAAAACAAATGCTAAGATAACATGACATGTATGCTTTGTTTACATGACATTGATTAAAGAGTAAATTACGTTTTCATTCTTACGGTTTGTTAAAGATTGCAATTTTCGTCCCCATGGTTTAGAGATTGTTTTTGTCCTTATGATATATAAATGTAATTCATTTTGAATTTTGTTCTTATAATTTTACAATTCATTAAATCCTTATGATTTACAATTCTTTATTGTTTTAGTCTCTTGTATTTAAAGATAGGAATTAGTCCAGGGATGAAAATACGATGCAAATCATAGGGATTAAAATCACAATTTCTAAACCACATGGACGAAAATAGAACCTATTAACAAACCACAAGGACAAAAACTGTAATTTACTCTAGGTTAAATTTTAGCTTTTCTTCTATTTCTTAATAGTTCAGGGTTTTATTTGTAAATAAAGTTGGGCCATCTGCTTTTCTCTCAAACTTTGAATTCAAAATTGAAGTATTCTTTTGGGCTAATTCATGACGGTGTTTTGCAACCTCAATCTTCATCATAACATCTATCACCATTTCAAGTTTCCGTTTGTTGTTTGCTGCATCATCTTCAAGCTCTAATGTTCCATGCGTTTTTTTTTATATGTGTTGTTTACTGCACCTACCATAAACACCTTCAATTTCCTGATTAATGTACATTACAGCTTCTCATTTCATGTTTATATGAGTGCTTTATCCGCACAAGTTCATTGAATTTTTTGCTACACCCACCATTAATTTGGCTTGTAATTTTGATGATATCTTAATAGATTAATGAAATATACTTTAAAATCTATCTGGTTTATGAAAATCTCTGACGCACACCAACTGTTTGAGCCACTTTCCGGGACCTTACAATTATCAGTTCGATTACAGGTGAACATAAAATATATTGGTATAATAATAAAAAATACATTATCATTTTCTTGCATTTAGCCCTTGAACAAAAAGAGCTTATATATTGTTATTAACATAAACATATTCCATTTTTAAATGGTTCAAAATAAATTTGAAGGAATGTCCTTGAATATTTAAGAGGCAATAAAACTTATATTGAGAAGACGTTATACTATTTTGGAATATAAAATAGTACAACTTTTTATGAGAGTAAAATATTGTTTTTTTTATGGGAGCCGGTTAACGCAGCCTACAGGCAAAGGCATTGCTCATGAATGACGCCATTACGCAGCATTATCGAGACATCTGTGTCTGCTTTGCCTACCCTTGCGACGACCCATTCTCAGTTAATCAAGTTAGGAACTATCGGGGATACTTTCGCAGCCAACAATCTATTAGGAGGTTATTTGAAAAGCAGAGAATTACGAATTGCCCTCAAGCTGTTCGACGAAATTCCTCAGAAGGACACTGTTTCTTGGAACTCACTAATCGCTGGTTACGTCAACTATGGGGATCTTGAGAGTGCATGGGAGGTTCTGATATGTATGAAACGTTGTGGGTTCTTCTTTGATGGGTACACTTTTGGTTGTATACTCAAGGGTGTCGCTTCTAACGATTGTCTCTTTGCTGGGCAGCAAGTGCATGGGAATATCGTTAAGATGGGGTATGAGGAAAATGTGTATTCAGGGAGTGCTCTTTTGGACATGTATGCAAAATGTGGTAGAGTGGTGGATGCACACAAGTGTTTTAATTGCATGCCAGATCGTAATTCTGTGTCATGGAATGCTCTGATATCAGGGTATGTAGAAACTGATGACCATGTGAATTCTTTTTGGTTATTCAAATCTATGCATAGGGAAGGTGTGAGGCTTGATGATGGCACATTTTCTCCTCTTCTGACACTGTTTGATAGCCCCGACTTTTATAAGCTAACAATGCAGGTCCACTGCACGATCATAAAACATGGTATGGCATCTGATAGCTCTGTGCTTAATGCTACAATCAGTGCTTATTCTGAGTGTGGGTCAATCAAAGATGCCAAGGGGGTGTTTGATGGTGCAGGTGGCGAGCGGGACATCGTCTCTTGGAATGCCATGTTGGCAGCTTGCTTGGAACATGATAAACGGGACCTTGCATTTAACCTTTTCACTGAGATGCAAATATTAGGATTTCAACCAGATATTTATACTTACACTAGCATGATAAGTTCTTGCTTTGAAGAAGAAGTCCAGAATCAAGGACAATCTTTACATGCATTGGTAATTAAAAGGGGAGTTGAACATTTGACGCCAATCTCCAATTCATTGATGGCTATGTTTACTGGGTCTACTAGCAGCCATATGGAATATGCAATAACAATATTTGAGAACCTGGAGTTCAAAGATCAGGTGTCTTGGAACTCAATGTTAACAGGATTCTCACAACATGGATTTAGTGAGAATGCCTTGAAACTTTTTCAGATAATGCAATCTGGGAATGTAGGGATGGATTATTATGCCTTTTCTGCAGTCCTTAGATCCTGTGCAGATATGGCGACCTTACAGTTGGGTCAACAAATTCATGCTTTGGCAATAAGATCAGGTTTCGAGTCTAATGAATTTGTAACCAGCTCTTTGGTAGTGATGTACTCCAAGTGTGGAATTATTGCGGATGCTGCAAGATCGTTTGAGACTTCCCATAAGCTGAACTCCGTTACTTGGAACTCAATCATGTTCGCATATGCCCAAGATGGCCAAGGTCATGTTGTGCTGAAACTTTTCTGTCAAATGAGGAAAACAAAAGTGAAACTGGATCATATAACTTTTGTTGCAGTTCTAACTGCATGCAGCCACATTGGTTTGGTCGAAGAAGGGTATTACTTTTTGAAACATATGGAATCTGATTATGGAATTTCACCCCGGATGGAACATTATGCTTGTGTGATCGACCTACTTGGACGGGCTGGGCATCTCAAAGAGGCAGAAAGTCTGGTCAGAGCAATGCCTTTTCAACCTAATGCAATGGTGTGGAAAACTCTACTGGGGGCTTGTCGATTGTGTGGTGATGTTGAATTAGCATTGGAAGTGGCTAACTTATTATTAGAATCAGAACCTTATGAGCACTGCACTTACGTTCTTCTCTGTGACTTGTATGGACATCTTAGGCGGTGGGATGAAATTGCTGTGTTAAAGAGAACTATGAAAGAGAAAGGGGTCAAGAAGGTACCAGGTTGGAGTTGGATAGAGGTTCAGAATCAGCTGCATGCCTTTAAAGCTGATGACCATTCACATACTCGAAATGAGGACATACACCAAATGCTGAGAAGATTAACGGATGATATTGCACATTTGGAAATTTCTTATGATTGGGGAAATTCGATGGATGATTAGAATTGGGCTATTACTGATAATCTTTCCATGCTTCAAGGCTCATGATGCTTAATTCTCTATGGAATGCAAGATAGTGTCGGATCATATCTTGATCACTGCCAGACTCTTCGAGATCTTAATCAGGTACTTGATACCTTCTACATACATGAGTTGTCCAAAACTTGGTTAAACCTATTGCTGTATTTGTAATTGCCGCAGTGGATGCCCGGGCGACGGCCCAGGGCATCAATTCACTTGTTGGGCCTGTCATATTATTAAAGAAAAACTGCAACAGAAGGTTTCGAACGTGAGACCTTAACATGGATGGACGCTACCATTGAGCTGGCGCTATTTTTGTTGATCATTTGCCACATTTTACTTTTATTCCTTCCCCTCCCTTAGGAAGAGCGTGAAATTATTTTTCCTTCCCCAGGGAACAGTAGATTGGATCTAGCCGTATGAAGAATGCTTGTCCATCCTAAATCCTTTTTCTAATTATTCTGTTGAACTTAAAGTTTTGTTTCTCTTTTTAATATGAACTTATATCCATCTAAAATAAAATTAATCATATCAACAAGTAATATTTTATATACTGGGTTTTTGTTTGGAAAAACATTGATAACATTTAAAATCTTATTATTCTTTTTCTATGTATGATTTTTTCAAACATGTTTATATAGGCAATAGAGAGTTATTTTTTGTTGTTGCATCTGTCATACATGCTTGTTCAAGTTTGTTTCATGTTATAATAAAATGATATATATTTGCTGCAAAATGACTCATTTAAACCTTGTTTAACAATTGGCTTCAAATAGCAACTATTTGAGCATACCATGCTAATCTACAAGCAATTAAATGTTTTTTTTAAGTATATGATATTTATACATGACAAATGCAACAAAAGAAATCATACACCCCCTCACCTTTACTGAGGTTTGAACCTTTGACTTCCAAGAAGGCCAAAATTTCGGATACCGTCTGGCCAAAGACCGTTCTGGTAATCAGTGTAAAATGTTATTTGTAGCATGAACATGTGTTAGGTTCTACCATGTGTTAATGTAGTTTGGTTTTGATTTGTTTTAAATGGTTCTTTGATAATACGGCTGCCACATTACATTTATATGAAGTTTTAAGGATTAAAAATCATTTAACAAAGCTTTTTATGTTATTATAATACGCATTGTGTGTGAACTTGTTGCTCGGTAACATCATGTTCAACATTGTTACAAAACCGAAATAATTTAGTGTTTCTTTTATAGGGGCATTTTTTAGCACTTTCGCCCAGGGCACCAAAAAGCTTAGGACTTGCCCACTAATTGGCCATTTATTTTGTTGTAGACTTCATCTTCTATAAATTGACAAAAGTAAAGTTTGTACACGAGCGGCTTTAAAACATGACATGTCAAGTTTTTAAAATCACCCTTTTAACAATATTATGTACTAGAAGTTTACTCTCTGTCTTAGCCCATGACTAAGAAAACGGATAGGATTACGGACAAGAGAATCCAGTGTTCATGTGTACCCGGTTTGTTTTATCAATCAGGGAAAATAATTTGATTCAAACATTTTGAATCTGCAGAAACATAGCTGTGTGAGGGGGTTATGGCCGCGCACATGTTATTCATGATCTTAAGGCTGAATTTCCCATATCAAGAGAAAAACTACTTCTGTGTTTGTAGATTGTAGACTAGAGAAGATCTAAAGAACAGTAGAATGGTTTACGTCGAGGAGATAAAGAAGATCTGTAAGAGCTGAACTCAAGCTAATCCTTCCAATTAACATTTTTGTTTATTTCATTGTTGCTCAATCTTATGTTCATGTGTGCTTTTGGCACACAGGACAGGACATGACAAGATAGTTCAAAAACTTGTACATTAGACCGAGACAGGACATAACCAGAGTGGGACGAAAATGCCAAAGTAGGTGGAACAAAAATTAGGGAGATTGGAGAAGATTTTTAAATTACTAAACAACTCATGTGGAATTACAACCCTTAAAAATTCCAGATTTCTTTCCCTCGCCTATCTCACTCTCGCCCGTCCGGCCCAGTCCGACAATGCAATCTGCAAAGCTTAACTGTCTTCAGAAGCATATGGTTTTACTTTTATAAACAAATGCTTTTGACAGCACATTATTGAACCCCACCATGGCTATGTGCCACAGAAATGGGAGCAGTTACCGTACCTTTTGACAGAACTATGGACTTTTAACAACCATTACTTGCAGAATCTGGTCAACAGAAGGTGATTATCTGATCAATTCTTATACCCAAGTATATAGGCGGTGTCAACTATAAGAAGCCTCATTTGTTTCCGTCAAAAAGAACCACAACTTCTCTCCCATGACGTTATTAATTCTGCGATCAAGTGGGGATCTGCAGGATTCAAGGAAGTGCAAGTATCTAATAAGTAACTGAATTGTTAGCTTAAGTGGGTACATCATACATACACAGGCTGACAGGCACTTTACTTCCGTTTCATGTTTCTTGTCCAATTTTTTGTGAACAACTACTGTTATTTGAAAAAAAGATCCCATGTTTTTTCACACTACATATGGATGAATATGCTATCATTATGAGCGTTCATCAGACTTTGAGATTATCAATTGATCTTAACTTGCCATAATCGTTTCCATTGATGTAGAAAATGCTATGTAGATCATAAACCGGGGAAAATGTCAACTGGTGGCAAGTGTTTTGGGCTGAACGAAGATATGAGATGCATCTGGCTGTCAGCCTCATATCAGCATTACCTGTGTGATGAGATGCAGCCAATGTGTAGGAGACCTAAGTCGAGGTTAGCCTTAATATCTTAATGATTATGTTTGTGAAGTTTTATGTAAAGACAGGTTTAAAAGCTTGAGTTATAAACATATTCGAAGTGCACTCTGTTTCTAGACATTAGCAGATTGTCACTGTATCGTTTTAAATATATTTAGGGGCCGTTTACCAAACACTTAATAGGTAGCGTTTATCGGCATGAGTCATCACCCCCATTTGCCTTATTGGATAACATTCTCGGCCATCAAAATGGATTGTTGGTAAGCGTCTCTTACCCGGTAAGTGTTAAAGCTCACTTACCCGGTAAGATCATCGGTCCTTGCTATTCCTTTTACCCGGTAAAAGTCTCGGTCCTTATGATGCTCACGCAGTAAAGTGAGACATGATATGCGTTTATCAAAATAGCCAGTGATGGTAAGTACCACTTAATAGTTAAGTTGATTCATGTTGGGCATAAAATATGCATAAAACTTTATAGTGGATGAGCAATAGTGGAGATTAAGTAGTTGCCAATGCCTACCAGCTCAACCATCAGGTTGAGTTTGCTTTGATTCATGAACTTTTTCGAGATTGATATATATTTTATATAATCTGATAGCATTAAGGACTATTTTCTGACTCAGTTATAGGTTGTAGTAATATTAAAACCAGTAGTGATTCAATTTATGCAGATTTTAAACCAACTGGTTGCAGGCGTGCTGTAATATGCAGCCGCCTCGCATCACTGCACTACCAGTTTCTGATGCTGTCACTATGCACTTTTGTTTTTTATAATTATTTTATGAAAGTTGGTTTTCCAAAAAACGAATGGAATCTGTAAAATGAATTGAAATCTGTCTGTTAGGTTTGTTGAATATAACTTCCGAATTGCAATGGGATAATGGTAATGACTAAAATATTCCTTTATGACATTTTCGTATTTTTTTGCTTGCACTATAATTAATACTATATAATGATAAAAGTGATAATAATAGTAATTGACGGTGTTGGTGGCGGCGGCAACCATGGGACGGACCCACTTAAGAGCATACGACGGGACGGGCCACCACTTAATGGCTCCTTTTTTGTCCAATATCATTTGACATCGGATATAAATTAAGTGATTCTCCAATTATAGTTGGCATGCCATTTGTTCTTGAATAATATCCGAGTTACTTGTACCCATGAAGAACTCAGCCAACATTGGCTTTGCATGGTTAATAACCATCTCAATGCTGTGTTTGCTTGCAAATTCTCAGCTAACAACAAATTTCTACTCAAAGTCATGTCCTAATCTTCTCACCGTTGTACGTAAACAAGTGATGAACGCGATTAAAACTGAAACAAGAATGGCAGCTTCTTTGCTTCGGCTTCACTTCCACGATTGCTTTGTGAATGTAAGTCCTGTTCTAATCAATTTAATGCATATATGAAATCGAGCATCTGAAGTGTATCCATCCTAAGATTCTCTTCAAGTAATTAGGGTTGTGATGCATCGGTTTTACTGGATGGAAGCGAAGGAGAGAAGACTGCTTTACCGAACCTCAATTCTGCTAGGGGATATGAGGTGGTGGATGCGATTAAAAGCGCTGTGGAGAGCTCATGCAGTGGAGTAGTTTCATGTGCTGACATTCTGGCTATAGCTGCCCGTGATTCAGTTCTCTTGGTAGGTATTAAAACAGCATATACAATGTAGAACAGAAAACAGACCTGAAAATTGATCAAAAAGTGATTTGCAAAGTGGAGGACCATCATGGAGGGTCTTACTAGGAAGAAGGGATGGACTAGTGGCGAACAAGACGGGAGCTAATTTATCACTACCTGCTCCCTTTGAGTCCATTGGTAACATCACGCTCAAGTTTCAAGCCGTAGGTCTTAATCTCACAGATGTCGTCTCCCTATCAGGTGCTTTTCAGTTTTCTATTGACCGGATACAAATAACAGAACTCTCTTCAAGGAAACAATTGTTCTACCGTCGAGTGTAGAGGACAGTTCTGCGTACATCCCACCTCCCTGTCCCTACTTTCAAATTTGGTTTAATAAGAGGACTATATGATGGCTATATTTGGCAAACTAGCTAATAAGCTAGTTGTTAGCTGAAAAACTAGTTGTTGGCTAACAAGTTAGTTGTTAGTTGATAAGCTAGTCATGTGTTGTGAAAACTAACTTATAAGCTTGAAGACAATGTAAAATGACTTATTGGAAAAAGACAAAAAAAAACCTTGTATCACTAGCTTATGGTTGCCAATCATGGGCATTATCTCATCAACTGAAATTTTAGTGCAGGTGCGCATACGTTTGGATTTGCAAGCTGTGCCACATTCGGAAACAGATTATTCAACTTCTCAGAAACAAATGCTCCCGATAGTACATTATTGGACCCCAGCATGGTATCCGACCTTCAGAACTTATGCCCAGCCAACGGAGATATCAGCCGGATCACACCTCTTGACTGGAACTCCACAGACCTGTTCGACAACCATTACTTCCAAAACTTGGTGAATGGAAGGGGACTTCTGGAATCTGATCAATTCCTATATTCCAGTGATCAGGCAATCTCAACTACCCGAAGCATCGTTGAGCTTTACAGCCAAAACCCACAGCTCTTCTTCATCGACTTCGCCAATTCCATGATCAAAATGGGGAACATACAACCCCTCATTGGCTCGGCCGGAGAGATTCGCAACAACTGCAGGGTTATTAATTCATAATTTTGTTATCAATCTCATTCCTGAAGAAGACAAGCTGTTATGGTTTAAGATTATGTACAATCACAAGTTATATCCAGTAAGCCCTGTAGGATCCAAATGTAAATTTATGAATAAATGAACTATATCTTTCACTTAACCCCCTGTGTTTTGGCTAAATTATACTTGATTCCCCTTACTAATAGAAAAGACAAAACCATCCTCTCAGTTTTTTAGCCACATTTTCATTTTTATGTTTCCGATGAATCATACAATTCAAATATAGCTGCCAAAAACCATTTTTAATGTAAAGAAGTGTTGTGACAAAAATACCCTTAACTAACTTTCTAAAAATAAAGATTTTAAAACCAAAATTAAAAAAAAATTGTTTGATGAAAACGAATAAAAAGGTATTATTAAGAATTAAACAATTTTGAAGGTAACATAACAGCCAAAAAAGAACCTTCTTTGTTATCTAAGAACCTACAAGTCTAGTGTACAAATATGTTTTGTTAGACAACCTATTTTAACTTCCTATGTTTGATTTCTCCGTCTACTAATTATTGTTTATATTTTAACAACTGTTGTCGATATTTCAACAACAGTTGCCCGTACAACATCTCGTTCCACGTATCAGGAACTCCAGGAAGACACCAATGGCTGCAATCCTGAAACTTGAACACAGTCATCCTCTCCTCATTCGTCATGTTTGGCTTCATGTAGATCGATGGGTGTGCATCCCTACGATACTCCGACATTCTTGTAATGTTGAGGTACAATATTGGAATTTTCATTTTCGTCAAAATAGCTTCTGCTGCTTCCATCATAACCCGATTGTTTTCATGAGGTAGATCTTTTTCTAGTACAATGGGTTCGTTATCTTTGTCGCATTGGCCTCCAGAGTTCCATTGCCCATCGCTAAGACAGTAAAAAAAAGCCATTAAAAAATGGTTAGGTTAATTTCATCTCATCAAGAACATCTTTGGCAACCATAAGCTAGTTTATTGAATAAACTTCGTTAGGTTGGCCAAAGCTGTTTCGAGTAGCGTTTCAATAAGCTCCATATGTTTTTTTCCACTTTTTTCCGATTATACCCCTTATATTTTTCAACTTCTTTTAGATCATTTCACATGTCATTTCAGCCGGTTTTTACTAAACATGATTAATTTACATGCTAACATCTAGCCGATTAACCAACAACTAGCGTATTCATTCAACTTACCTGAAATGAGAAGACGAATAGCCTCTAAAGAACACTAAGGTCTTCCTTGAGACCTTGGCCTCTATCCATCGTCCCCATGTCGTCATGGCTTTTCTAAACGCCTCCATTACGTGCAATTGCTTGTAGACATGGTCACCTTCTTGGTAGTAACCTTTCCTACACATTTTCCACAAATTTGTCAACTGAAAAGCGTTTGTTGAGCGTGTGAATGTGAACAAAAAGTAGAGATAAAAACCAACCCTGCAGATGTTTTCTCATGAGTCCACCAGTGCCCTGTGTTAAAAACAAGAATATCTGCATTTCTATACAGATCTGATGATCTATGAACAAGATCTAGTCTAAGTGTTTCCTTTGTTGATCCATTTGCATTTTGCATCTTCCATTCTCGAACCAAGAATGGAGATGAATAATACTCCACTGTAAAGTTGTAATCCTGATCATGAAACCTTGAAAGAATCAACTTGATGGAACAAAACTGGCTCTCAAGTTTAAATAGATAGTTTCAGAAACTCACTCTAAATATCATCGAGTAGGACTTCGCTAAACGATAATCTTTCCAATCAGCAGCTTCATAAACGTTGCTACTGTTATGAACTACACTTCTCAGCATACAAACCATTGATTCCCACATATTCCTGTTCAAAGAATCTCCCACGAATACTAACCGTTTTCCTTTCAACAATCGCAGCATTTTCTTGCCGTTCCACCTGCAAGAAAGAAAGATTGTGATCAAAGAATGAAGATAATTCACTCAGAATCAAGAATTTGGTGTTGTTTATGCAACATCACCTTGGTAGGTTACACTCATAAGGCTGCCATCGATACTTCTGGTATGCAATCTCGGGTTTTCCATTCGTAAAACAATCAAAAGATTCACCAATGAATGGACAAGATCCGGGTTTGTATAAAGGGAGTGTATGATCCTCCACCCACCTTCCATTGAAGAACCTACAGTGAGTCATCTTCTCTATCCAGTTCTTTCTGTGTCTCTTCCTTTTCTTCTTCTCTTCTTCAACATCAACATTTTTTGAAAAAACCAATGATTCTAGCTTTCCAATTAGATTAGATTGGTTATGACTATTTGTTACAGACCCTTGAGGGGATTTTACTTTCCTCAGATACCCATTTGGGTTCTCGGAAACCCTAGCATCATCTGGTGGCATAATTCTACTTTTCCAAGAGCTAAAATCATGATTAAATGACAACCCGTTTGGAGAAGGAGCTTCCACTGAAACCCCATTTGTTCTTTTGGGAATCTGATCATTACTAGATGGTTTCGCCATTGTTTTCCCGGAGCTAAAATTATGATTCGACGAAAACCAAGAATCTCTCCTGGAAAACCCATCAAATTTCCGGGCAAATTGTGGGGAACTGACGGTGGAATTGGAGAGCAAACGTGAAATGAGTGCAGAAACTTGAGATTGATTGTATTGAATGAAATTGTAACTGCTTACAGGAATAATGAAGATGGAAAGCACCGAAATGAGGACGAAGAAGGTGATGAAAACGAAAGCAAACATCATGTATCTTCCTTGCGGGAAGATCCTTCTGTTTGATGATGAATCCAACATTATGATGAATTTGAATCAAAATTTTCAATCTTTTGGGTCGTTATCGTATTGACGAATCATGATCATTGATATCATGAGTCGCCGGGATGGTTTTTACTTTTTGTTTCACACGGCGGAGTACCTGGAGAGAGATAGAGAGAGAGAGAGATAGAGATAGAGAGAGAGAATGGCCAAGCATCATAAAAATGGCTAGGCAAATTTTAACCCTCCCCACTATTGGGGGTATAAATACTCACGTTAAACTAAAATTCAGGTAACCATAATTTGTTAACCGGTTTATCAGTTAGTTTTTATCAAACATTACTAGTTTATCAGCTATTTTATTAACCTAACAGCTAGCTTTTCAACTATCAATCATATAATCATTTATCAACTCATATCTTCAAAATATCATACATGAAACCGAAGCTATAGTTTCCAAATTCATAAACAAAAAACAAACATATATAAGAGACATTAACATTAGATTTCCAAATATCCATTTATTACCTTTGTCACATTGTTTCAGTTGGTTTGGGTACATCAACTGTTACTCACTAAACCAAAAGTGAACCAATTTCAAAGGCCCTGAAACAGTCATAGTTCATCTTAATACACAACGTAAAGTACAACTCCTCCTCGATCTTTTTCAAAATGCAGAACTGCGAATGAATAAATTTCGATCCCTTCTTTACCTTCTTCGTTTCAAGAAAGCCCTTTCACTCGTCCAGTCTCAGTGTCGAGATCAATGTCATAGAAGCATGGTCGTGTAGGAAGTCCAGGCATTGTGCTCATAGTTCCAACCAACGGGTAAATGAAACCAGCGCCAATACTTCCCCTAACATCCCTAATTGGTAACACGAATCCTGTTGGGGCCCCCTTGGCTGAGGCATTGTCGGAAAACGAGTATTGGGTTTTTGCCATACAGATTGGCAAACCGGAGAATCCTTGTTTGGTATACATCTCAATTTGTTTCTCAGCCTTTAGGATCACAAGCAAAATATGCTATCAATAACTTGATTGAAATCTTAAGATCACAAGTAAAAAGATGTAAAGAAATGGTTTATACCTGTTCCGAGTATGCAACACCACTAGCACCATATGATCTTGCTATGGCTTCTATCTTCTCTTTGATGCTTATGTCCAAAGGGTACAAGAATTTCAATGGTTGTGTGGCACTTTCACAAGCTTTTTGAACTGCAATTCCAAGATCAACCTGAAGTTTGCAGACGGAATCCATTAATGACGTTTAAAAGCATGTTAACAAGATCATATTTTGATTAATTAAGTTAAGATTATCATCACTAACCGCTCCTTTTCCGCCATGAGCGTGATGAGTGCAAAGAACAGCATCAAATGCTCCGGCTCCAAGTGCAGCGTTCTTGACAGCCGCTACTTCTGCATCAGTATCAGTCGAGAACTTGTTCACAGCCACAACAACATTCACACCATAAGCCTTTGTGTTCACTATGTGTCTAGCCAGGTTCACGCACCCGGCTTCCACAAGAGCCACGTTTTCAGTAATGTAAGCCTGGTCAAGTGGCCTTCCGGCTGTAACCTGTGGACCACCACCGTGCATCTTGAGAGCCCTGATGGTTGCCACGATTATAGCACACTGAGGTTTCAAACCACTATATCGACATTTGATGTTCATAAACTTCTCGGTTCCTATATCAGAACCAAACCCTGCTTCTGTAACAACATACCCACCGGGCCCAACCAATTTCAACGCGATCTTGTCGGCCACAATGGACGAGTTGCCGTGAGCTATGTTGGCAAATGGACCAGCGTGAACGAGAACAGGGGTGCCTTCAAGAGTCTGCATCAAGGTYGGATTRATKGCRTCTTTCATKAGYACAGTYAAKGCACCTCCRASMCCAAKATCATCRGCRGTSACAGGWTCACCRGCTYTRCTGTTWCCRATYACCATTTTCCCGAGCCGYTCTCTCATGTCMGAYAGAGAWKTSGTGAGGGCTAAAACCGCCATTATCTCACTGGCAACGGATATGTCAAAACCCGTTTCTCTAGTCATCCCCTTTTCATCTGGGCCTTGACCCACGGTGATTTTCCTCAAGAATCGGTCATTTACATCCATAACCCTCCTCCAGGTGATGCTGTCGGGGTCAATGTCAAGTCTAGCGAATTTATTGACTTCTTCTGGGGTCAGATCCTCGGGTTTGGTCTTGATGATATTGAGCTTTTTTAAGCGTCTAAACATTATGTCGTTGAAGGTGCGAATGCCTTCTTTGTTTGGTGGACACAAGCGGTTGAAAAGAGCCTTGTCTGATTGTGTGGACTCGTGAAACATTCGGGTGTCAATGGCAGCAGCCAGAAGGTTATTTGCAGCAGTGATTGCATGGATGTCACCGGTCATATGAAGATTGAACTCATCCATAGGGATGACTTGACTGTAACCACCACCGGCTGCACCACCTTTAATCCCAAATGTTGGCCCTTGTGATGGTTGTCTGAGGGTGGTGACAACCTAACAACACAGGCGATAATCAAGAAATCTTGAACATCAAAACCTAATTTACAACAAAGAAACAAGAACCCAGAATACTTGTATAGTTGTATGTATGTTTACAATTAAAGAAATAGAATTAATCTTGCAAGAATATGATTACTGGGAAATGAAAAATTCAATAAATAAGAAGACAAGACTCTTTGAAAAATGCAAGGGAAGTGTTGCATACAGAGACTGCAATAGGAGCAACTATACTTGGGATCCTTTATGCAGATCCAATATCCAATAGATTGAATCTTGTAGCAAATTAGCAATGACCCAAGTATGCTGATATGATGTGCTCAACAAAGTCAAGAACTTTCAGATTTCTTGAGGACTTGTTGCTGCACAGAGAATTCGTATAAATCTAGAAATGTGGGTATAATCAACACAATCTCTATAGAAGAAATGCAAGCTCGATTTGGGTTAGATGTCAGAATCCTAAATTGCATTGATAAAAGTATGCACAAGCAAAAGACTGAAAGTTATAATTAAAGATCGAGATACAACCATATGGTGATTGAAACCCATACCATATCCTTAACCAACACACACACACACACACACAAAAAGAATGTGAAAATGAAGTAATGAATGTTACCTTTTTATCAAGATAGGCTCCCAAAGCTTGACAAAGACCAACAGTAGTAGTAGACTTGCCTTCTCCAAGAGGTGTTGGTGTGATTCCTCCAACAACAACATAATACCCATCTTGTCCTTCTTTAACTTCATCAATCACAGACAACAAAACCTATAATTTTCAAATACCCAATTCATCAAAGACAAAGAAAACCTAAAATCTACGTATACCCAAATCATAACCGACAACAAAATCTGAAAATTTTACACATACCCAAGATGGTGATTGGTGAATTGATATCTTGGTTCAGAAAATAGATGCACTGACTTTTAAAGTCAAATGAGACCTACTACTTTCCAAATAAGAACCAGTTGATATGATCCCATTTGCCTGTTCCTTGAGAAAATTTCTTTAAATCTATTTTAAGTAAAAAAGGAGAGGCCACTTTAACATCCAAAATAAACTGTAGATTTAGGAATGGAAGGGGTATTGTCTTTCTTTTAACTCAGTTTGACATGGAGCATCAGACTGTGTGAAAGTGGGGGTCATAGGCGATGAACTCATAACTCATTTACTTCAACACCCAATTGTGTTTCGATCTACATCAATGGCAAACTAAAGTTAAATTCGTATTTCAGTGCAAAAAACACGTACCTTGGCCTTGTATTTTCCGTAAAGATCATAGTGATCAGGGTTAAGATTGAGATCTTTAGCGATCTCAGAGATGTGAAGAGGAACAACAGAGTTTGCAATGTCGATATCTGCTGGGACAGGGGATACCACTTGCAATTTTCTTGAACTCATCCTTCTTCTTCAAAAGATCTAGGGTTTTAATCTTCTGGAAAATTGAATCTGTGTGATGTCAGAATCTTTATCTTGCAGAAGAATGAGAATTTACACATCCATTTTTTTCTGAGTCAAGATTATGAATCACAGAGGGTTGATTCGAAGTGCGGACCTTATCTGGGCTTGCTTTTTGGATCAATGATAATAAGTGGACCCCTTCTGCCCTTGCATTATTCCTTGTGAATTTTCATGAATTTCGAATTATTAAAATCTGTATGGACACTCGACTCGTTTTTTGTCCGTATGTCCAATTACGAACGACCCTTTTTTATTTATTTTTTGCAAAAGCAGTCGTAGAAAACATATTTATAATATTTGATTGTATAAAACATTATAAGTCTAACATAAGATATCTCGTGATAAAATGAATTTTAAACATTGTTTTAATATATTTATTGTGATAATCGTCGTAGCCTGTTGTGATTCAAGGTTCGTGGTTAACGTCACGTTAACTCCGTGATTTGCCATGATCCAAATACATTTTTGTAACCTAACATTTATTTTTTTAGTGTCTCACTCTTTTTTAGTTTTAAATATATAACATGATTTATATTGTTTAATATCATTCATTTATTGAATAATACTTTTTTTATATTTTATTAAAATATTTTAAATATATGGTAAATAATTGAAATAACTTTATGTGTTTTTATTTAAAAAAAATATTTTAGATATTTGATAAGCAAGTAAAATGACTTGTTGCATCATGTATCATGTCAAATATTACATCTGTTTTAGGATGAGTGGGGTAACATATTTTCTTAAACAAAAACTTTGTACTTATTTCTAATTACATGTCCGATTCAACCACTAAAAAAATAGCACTAAAATCAATAAAAATATTAAAAATGGTTAGTCTTTTCGAACAATAAAATACATCAACTTCAACCATAGAATATTGTCTCTCTCTCCTCTCTCCTCTCTTATATCTCATATTTTCCCCCTCTTTATTTCTCTCTCTTCATAACATAATGTATACACATAATTAAGAGGGTGTTTGGGATTGTTTATTTGAAACGATTTATGTTTTTCTACAAAAACACTTATCAACTTATTAAAAGTCAGAAAAGTTTAACTTCTTCAAAAACTTCTTATTACCGGTTTGACACCGGTATAAGTATAAGTTGTTTATCCAAACACTCAAAAGTGTTTATTACCGGTGTCACACAAAAATAAGTTAATAAGTTGTTTTTATAAGCAATCTCAAACACCCCCTAAAAATACATATACAGATGAACACATTGTGAACACTTTCTTATAAATACTATTATAGTTTTGAACACATTATAAATCTACGAGATCTATATAGCTTATGAACATATTATGAACACTAATTAAATCAATAAACTAAATCTAAATATACCACTTTGTGAACAATGTGAAGACTCTAGTAAACAATTCTTAAAGTTGTATACATATGTTTATGACACTATGTTCATTTTTTGTGCACATTTAATTGTCGAATACATGAGAGTAGAAAAAGAAAGAGATATATATGGAATTTCTTTAAAAAAATTGCATTAACTTTTATTTAATAAATAAAGATAATTATCTCATTACTTAATAACATCAATTATCTTAAATTAGAAGTCTATAATGAATAACATAGATTTTAGAGTTATCAAATAATTAAACTCAAATTTAACAAAACCTTCAAACTTAAATATCAGATAGATATAAAATACGCAGTTTAACAAAAAAAAAGTTTGAATGCCACAATTATAGAAGAAAGATACGTAACCACTGAAAACAAAAAAGAATTATCAACTTTGTTGAATAAAAGTACATAAAGAAATACAAAACTAAGACTTATATGAACCATAATATCTCTTCAATGCATTATTGGTTACTTGATAATCAATACAGATGAAATCTGTTAATGGTATCGATATAAATCAAATTGTTTTTATTGTTTATGTTTTTATCTTTTGTTGGTTATAGTTTTGAACATTTAGAATACTCGTTCAGACCATCTTTGAAAGTGGACTTGAAATAATTTAAATGTTTGTTTATTAGCAGCTTAATCAATTTGACGAGACTTGCAACTTAACGAGTTTAATGAGATTTACAGTTTATTCGATCAACTGTATATCACTATTTGGTAATGACTTGATGATATAAAAAGTAGCTTCTCAATAATCTTAAAAGGGAAGCTTTATAAAAAATCATGTTAAACAAATTAAATAAAAATTGACACTAAATGTTGAGACCTTCAAATTGAATAGAAAAAAGTAAAACTGAAAAAAATACCATTATGTTAAGCAAAACCCTTGCTAGATCATTGGACGGGTAAGTGGATGTTGGTTGATTCGATCGGTTTTGGACTGTCATCGAAGAACCGACTGATCCAAATTGGATGATGAAAATTTCAATCTGATCTGATTTAATTACAATTGAATATTCAATTATGGTCGGTCTGTTCTAATTGGATCGGTTGATTTTCTGTACATTTCATGAAAAACATTGTACCTTTACTAGCTTTCTAAACTAGCTTGGATGTTACAAAAATACATTTAAACTTCCCATTTATTTTGTGTATAAATAAATAAATGTCAACGCATTTTAATTGTAATTGATGTATTAATTATAATAATTATTATTATTAGAGATTGATTAATTGGTGATAATGAAAGAAAGTGATGATAGCAATGCCAGAGGCAGGCGTGGGCAAAATGTGTCGTAAAAAGCCAAAAAACCAACTTGAAATCAAGACAAGAGGAAACAACCATAACAAATTGGCTTTGTAGACAGACCATTGCTCAAATCCCCTTAGGCCTTAGCTGTTCAACACACATCATAAATAAATTATTTCCATCTCAAAACCCTTCTACAAATCCTAGATAGATTGCCCCATTTGAATGAAACCTGGGACTTCAAGATTACCCAAATCTTTCACTGTCGGAATTGATCATCACTTCTATTCAATTCTTCCCATCTGTTTTTTCTATTTAAACCCTAATCTACTTCTCTCGTTACAACCCCCAATTTCTGATGGGTTGCTACTGATTTTCTCATCTGGGCTTTGCTCTTCTTGGTCAGTTTCTTACGTCTTGCCTATCTTTCTCTCGTTTTCTTGATTAAAACTGATTTTTGTTTTCTGGGTATCTTTTGATTTCTTGAAATTGATAGGGGTTTAATGATTAAAGGGAAAAGAACTATAGATATCTTATTGGTCAACTCAATCTCTTTCCTTATTTCTTCTTGGTGTTGGAATTCAGCCATGTGATGAGACTTTGTGGTAACGTCCTGGTCAAATAGCTCAAGTTTGCAGTTTTGTGATTCTGTTATCACCCAAATGGTTGCAGTTTTCAGGTGAATCACTTGATAAATTCTGCCACATTTGTATCTGATAGTTAACCTAGGTCTACATATTTCTTGATTCCAGTTTGGGCATGTTTTCTAATGTGTAGGTTTCTTCTGTTCCTGCTTCCAATTGATATCTTTGATGAAATTTTTGTTAGGGCATCTCCAACCTTGACGCTAAAAAAAACACCAAATAAGTGGGCCCGTTAACACCAAAAAGATACTCAACTCCAACCTTTTGCCGTTCACCTCTTCCACGGCAAATTTGCCGTTCATTTCCTTCCTCCGGCAAAATTTTGGTGTTTTTGGCGTGCGATTGGATCCAAAAGAACGGCAAAATTAGGGTTTTGCCGTTCGATTGGAGTTGCTCTTAAGAAAAGGAAATGTAGCACTTCATCTTTGTGTATTTGTGTATCTGCCTGCTTAAGTTTGTTTCTTGCTACTCAGGAAACAATCTTCATCACAAGATTTGCTGCAGATTGGATTCTGTCTTTGATCAACAATTATCATAGTGATATATATTGCTTATGATCTCATATGTATATATCTCTCTAGATCTTGTGATCTTGTGTTGTATAATGGTTGCTCTAGCTAGATCCTTGATCTTTCCCCCCCACCCAGCTGCATTCGAACTTTCAGGATGAGGGTAGTGTTGAAAATGCTTTCAAAACATAGGATCTCATGATGATTTTGGTTTAATTACAATTATGTCAGGAGGTAATCTAAGAGGACTGCAAAGCAAAAGTATGGCTCCTGGAGGTAACATATACCAGGATGTCGCTGAATCGCGTGCTGCACTTGCTGATTATGGTGTCAAATCTGCAAATGTTGAAGGAAGAAATGGCCCCAGATTATGTGGTTCTGCCGGTGGAAGGCCAGGAATGGCATCAAACAGCGCTGTGCACGAGCTACTTGAGTGCCCTGTGTGCCTGAACGTAATGTGTCCGCCCATTCATCAGGTACGTTTGTTCTTATTACCCATATGAACATGAAATACGTACATGAATCGTGTTTTAATTTGGATATTTTTGTGCATGCAGTGTCCAAATGGGCACACGATATGTGTTGTTTGCAAGTCTAAAGTGCAGAATAGTTGTCCAATATGTCGGCAAGAGCTTGGAAACATAAGGTGTTTGGCGTTGGAGAAAGTTGCAGAGTCGATTGAGTTGCCTTGCAAGTACCATTTTTACGGGTGCCTTGATATTTTGGCGTATCACAGCAGGATGAGGCACGAGGAGAATTGCAAGTATCGTGGGTATAATTGTCCGTATGCAGGTGCAGAATGCTTGGTAACGGGTGATATTTCGTTCATCGTGGCACATCTGAAAGCGGATCATAATGTTGATATGCATGATGGGTATAGCTTCAACCACCGATACGTGAAGCCCAATCCTCATGAAATCGAGAACGCTACCTGGATGTTAACTGTAAAAAGATCCCCCTCTCTTGAACCTAATTAAACGATCTGTGGTTTGCAACTGATTCAATAATGTTTGTTTGGAATTGGATGCAGATATTCAACTGTTTCGGATACCAATTCTGCTTGCATTTTGAAGCATTTCATCTGGGAACAGCACCGGTTTACATGGCGTTCTTGCGTTTCATGGGGGATGAAAACGATGCCAACAAGTTCAGCTACAGCCTTGAGGTTGGAGGAAATGGGAGAAAGTTGAAATGGCAGGGGATTCCGAGAAGCATTCGTGACAGTCACAAGAGCGTTCGTGATAGTCTCGATGGGCTGATCATAACTCGGAATATAGCGCTCTTCTTTTCGGGCGGAGATCGGCAGGAACTGAAGCTCAAAGTGTCAGGGAGGATATGGAAAGAACAGTCTTGAAAGAAAAAGGTTTAGCTTTAAAGTGGCAAAGGGATTCTTATTCCAGTGTAG